ATAAAACAAAAAAAATATGATAAAAAAATATGGTTTATAGGAAGACGAGTTACAAACTGTTTTCATAACCAGCATCAAAAATACTATATAGAACCAAAATAAAAAAATTAGTCTGAAAAAGAAACGTTTATAACAAAAAAATTATTGGGGAAGGGGTTAATATGGATGATCTGAATCCATAGTATTTAGATATTCTTTGCATTTTACCTACATTTTGAATATGTGTTTTGCTTCTTTTCTATATTTTACACGTTCTGACTTGTATATTATGGTCACGCTTTCAGGGATTAAAAACAGGGGCGGGGGCCATTCACTGTTTCTTCCCCGCTTCCTCTTGACAGATGTATTTAATATGTTCACATGCTTTTGTCATTTCTTTTTTCCTGACTCAACTTTTCTCTGAACGTGTGTGGCTGTTTCTAAAGACTCACCGAATCGCTTCGGCAGTTGCTATTTTTCAATACCATATTAAAATTTAGGGTGTTTTTTTTTTCTTTTTCTATTTTTTGCCCTCTATAATTATGCATTCTTTATTTTTGTTTCTTATGAGATTTATTTTTATGTGCCCACAACATACCTGTCATGCTTTGTGGCAGCTCATTTCTAACTTATCTCTTATTTTCACACCTTTAAAAAAATATGTCGTCAAGATATTCAAGGTGAAGCCTGAAAATAAATAAGAACATCTATTTAACCACCGACTTTTATACAAATGTCTATTTTTCTTTCTTCTATTTATTTTTTGTTCTACAGGACTCTGTCTAACTGGACATATGAATTTGACAAATGGGCTCCTTCTGTGGTGAAAATTTCTTACAAGGTTTGGAATGCCGTGTTTATATATAAATGTGCAAAAGCAAAAAATAGACCCCATTTTCTTTACTCCATATGCACATCTGTGCACTGTATTTGGTTGTAAAGTTTTGTCATGTACATCATGTACTAAACAGTGAGAGTTAATCATCCCAAGAAGATGACTGTAATAAACCATAATTACTTTCAGATAGTGAAATGCAGAAGAAAATTGTTAATTATCATATTGCGAGGTTTCTGATGAGAGTAATACAAATGACAAATACCGTGCATTCCCTGTGCTGCCGACGGGCTCACTGTGCCTGCAGAAAGTTCAGCAATTCCCTGGGTGCTCAGGCCGCCTGCGACAGGCTCCCGTAGAAAAGGAGCCTTTCATTGGAGCAGCGGGTTCTCCACTACCCGGCGGTCACTGTAATTTCCTTTTCTCTCTTCCCCTGCCGTTTTCAGTGGGAAAGCCTCTCTCTAAGAGACTGGAAAGTGTCCAGACCTGGGCGATTTCACTGAGCACTTTCTTGGTGGATAATGTGTCTGTATATAATAATGCATATATGTGCAGTCGTTAGTCACGGGCCCGGGCTCCATTAAGCTCTGAATAGTGAGAAACAGCACACATGTGCTTCCACTGGGTAATAGATACGTGTTTTTCTCCCTTTCTATTCAGGGCACCCCTGCCATGCGTCGCTCCCTTGTCCCCCAGCTACGGAGTGGCAAATTCAACGTCCTCTTGACAACTTACGAGTACATTATAAAAGACAAGCACATTCTTGCAAAGGTATGTTTAAAAAAATTCTTCTATTGCTAAATGATGGACCATTGCACTGGAGTGTAAAGTATTTCCCAGATTATACTCACTAGGATAATTTGATTGTTAAATGGCATTTCTCTCTTTTTTTAGAGTCAGATATATTTTGGTTATGGGTTTTAATTGTATGCATACTATTTGTGTGTGTGTGTGTGTGCGCGCGCACGCACGCACGCACGCTCGTGTGCACCATCTGTCCTGGGGCTCTTACTTATCCTCCCATAGATAGTCAGTTTACATCTCTTTAAAAGTTCGCTTGGGCTCCTTCTGCAGTTCTCTCTCCAGCAGCTCCTGTGGAAGGAATCGTTGTTTCTGCTGCCCTGGGTTATTGTCAGTAGCGTAGCTTCAGTCCTCTTGGACCTTTGTCTCTCCAAAGACGAGTAGCATCTCTCCACATGGTCTTGTCCCTGTGAACATTTCTCCGAGCTGTGGCTTTCCTGCTGTCCCTGTTTTAGGTTAGTTTCCTTAAAAAAACATGGGCCATTATTGTTTGAATTACTCTGGGCTGTTTCTGTGACCATTTGGAGCTGGGAAAGAGAGGTTTTCTACCTGCAACCTACATGCCTCCTAATTTGTATGTCCTAAGTTGTCCTTTAGCCATAAAATGTCATTTTTCCCCATTAATATCATCTTGCCTCCTAATATGTTCATGCAGAATGATGGAAGTAGTTTCTTTCATGGAGCAAATATGAAGACTTAATTTTTTTTAATTTTTTTTTTTTTTAGTAATTTCTTTTGCCCTGTGGTGTTTTGAATGCACTATCATCTGAAACCAAGTTATAGTCCAAATTAGACAGAATCCCCATTTCTGGGGTGTGTTCTGTCTCTGCACTAACCCTTTGCTCTGGGAACTGACGTTCCCTTGATGGCATCACAGGAAGTAGCATACAGGAAGTGTATTCCCGGGGGTGGTCTAATCATTGCGAGGGCACTGGCAGCAGTGCGCGTTCCGACTCCTCGTATTCGGAGACGCATTTGGTGGTGTCAGAAATGATGTGTTTTCACTATTACGATGGGAATGTGTTTATACATTTGTGATCCTTGAAAACAAATTCAGACCGTGTTTTCTGCATAGGCATTTCAAAATTCTTTGGAGACGCCTGTTAGTGAGATGTATCGCTTTTATTTGTTACTGGAGAAATGGAGCTACAGAACGGGGCAGCAATTTTTTTCCGAGTGGAAGGCCTAATTAGGAGTAGCCCAATAGCAAAACCTACGGCCTCTGCTTCCTTGTTTACTATTTCATAAGCCAAATTGGGCAGGAAAGCAGACGTAGAATATTTACTTAAATACATGTTATCTGAGGGCCTCTTTTCACACTATTGGTAAGTTTGGGACGGCCGCAGTACAACTTTGATTATTCTTAAACACTTTTCTTAGAGGTGGTAGAGGCAGAAAAATACACAAAATCTCTGGCTGTTTCCTTTTACCTGAACATCCCTGCCTGACTGATGCTTTTATATGCTTTCCCCTGATTTCCCTGGTGCTTCTGCGGAGGAAGGCGAGGCCTGTGGGGAGTGCGGTGCTGTCTCCCTCCTCTCTCCAGGAGCGTAGCGGCAGGATCCAGGGACATCTGAGCACCAGATGCTTTCCTTGGCCATCGCCCCTGCTCTGTAGGGAATGGATAGGCTTCGTGGAACATTCCTCATTGTTCTCACTTTAAGAAATGGAGACGAGTGACCTTGAAGAGGGCTCAAGTGTAAAATAGGAGAGAGGAAAGGGGCTTTCGTAGACGTAGGGAGGAGGATTGCATCAGACGGTCATCCTTTACTTCTGAAGGGATAGTCGTGTGGGGGGGAGTGTGTTATGTTTAATTCTGAAGGCTTGGCGTACAGAGAGGAATGACATTTAGCATTGTCCTCTCTGCCGGTGAGAATATCGTAAAGCAGGGACTAGAGCTGGTGGATAGGTGCTTGGCAGGTAAGGAATACTATTATGTGTGAGAGTCCAGGTTGCCAGATCTTCCTTTTTTCTTTTTTCTTTTTTAAAGGAAAAGCTAGATGTCTAGATTTTAATGTGAGATATACCAACTTTTAAATGTTAGCAGCTAATTGAAATTAAAATAAATAACACTGATCCAAGCCCTAAAGGTAGTATAGTCAGCCCACGTAATAGGAAAGAAGGCAGAAGCCAGAGGCTGTCAGCTACAGGTAATGCTGGAAGGACCCGTCATTAACTGCTGCCTCAGTGGAGAGCTGTATTCTGTACCTGCTGGGTGCGGAGGGGGCATGATCGTTAGGCCTGGGACAGCGTCAGGGTACAGCATTAGCAGCGCTACAGGATGGGGAGACTCAGGGGCTACCCCTGGCTTAACCATTGCATTCTGGACCAGGCTTCCTTCCTGGTTAAAGGGTGGCTTGGAATTACACGGCCTCTAAGGAACCTAATTGCTTTAGCTTCCCGTTGTTACATGACGTATTATCCAACCTGTCAGGTATGGGATAGAGACTGTTGAGGTTCTTTTATCCTAAGGAGAACCCCACCATCTGTTTCACCAGGTATGGGTTCTTTGGTTTTCCACTTCACCTCTTTTTTGTTGTTATTAATCTTCACCCGAAGATATTTTTTCCATTGATTTTTTTTTTTAAGAGAGAGTGGAAGGGAGTGGGAGAGACAGAGAGAGAAACATCGATGTGAGACACATCGATTAGTTGCCTACCGCATGTGCCGGGCCGGGAACTGAGTCTGTAACCAAGGTACGTGCCCTCCACTGGAATCGAACCCAGGACCCTGCAGTCCCTGAGCTGACGCTCAATCCACTGAGCCAAACCAGCTAGGGCTCCATTTCACCTCTTGCCTCCTGGAAATCGTCATCTTTTCCCTTGCTCACCACATGTCGGCCCATCTGACGTTACAGATCCGGTGGAAGTACATGATCGTGGACGAGGGCCACCGGATGAAGAACCACCACTGCAAGCTGACTCAGGTCCTCAACACGCACTATGTGGCCCCCAGGAGGATCCTGCTGACCGGGACCCCGCTGCAGAACAAGCTCCCGGAGCTCTGGGCGCTCCTCAACTTCCTCCTCCCCACCATTTTCAAGAGCTGCAGCACCTTCGAACAGTGGTTCAATGCTCCGTTTGCCATGACTGGAGAAAGGGTACTGGTCTAGCTTGTGTTTTTTTCACTACTTGACAATGAAATGAAAGGATCTAGAGCTGAGAACATCAGAGCGACAGGAAACCCTCAGGGTGGTTTACAATGTCGCCCACATTCCGAAGCTAGCCCGAGGGACACATGTTCTCAATCCCGGGTGTGTCCGCTCTGAAGAAAGCGGATCTAGTGAGGTGTGGGTGTCCCGACTCCAGCCAGGCCGCCAGAGGACACTCCTGACGGTGGGATGCTGACCTGCTGTGGGCCAGGGGGGCCCATGGAGGGACAGTTACTGCCTCAGTTTAACCAGGTCAATTCAACAGCTGAACATATACCTTAAGACATGTACAACCTTGTTATAAACATGGGCTTCCCTTTAAACTGTTTCCTCATCAAGAGTGTGTGTGTAAAACTGAAGTTGGACACTAATTTTCTGTACACGTTTTTCCAGAGTTCAGTGTGAGCCTCAGTTTTGTGTCTACATAAATAATCCTCAAGTCTGGAGCAGCCATTTCTAAATTTCTTACCTCCATTTCTTCCACTATCTATCTTCTCTTGGAGCTCCTTGATGAAAGGAGGGCCCGAGCCATTGTAAAAAAAGAAATGGGCACATGACCTTTTGGTTAGTGATTTCTTAACTATAGGAATGGGCACATGTCCTTTGGTTAGTGATTTCTTAACTATAGGCATGCAAAGCCAGAAAGAATGCTCTAGGGCAGTGATGGCGAACCTATGACACGCGAACTCATTTTTTGGTTGATTTTTCTTTGTTAAATGGCATTTAAATATATAAAATAAATATCAAAAATATAAATCTTTGTTTTACTATGGTTGCAAATATCAAAAAATTTCTATATGTGACACGGCACCAGAGTTAAGTTAGGGTTTTTCAAAATGCTGACACACCGAGCTCAAAAGGATCACCATCACTGCTCTAGGGAAACTTAGGTTGGAACTCTTTAGCCCTTTAGTTGTGTGGTACGTTTTCTTTTTGTCAGTAAGTGATTGACTCGCCCATTTGTATAGAGTCAATCAACTCTGCCCCCTAGAGGTGATAGAGGAGGGTGAAAGAGAAAGCAGAGGTTTTATAAGTGTAACTGTAACTCCAATAAGATCAGGGCAGAAGAAAGGAAGAGCAAGGTAGCATGGCTCAGAAACCGGCCAACATAAACTGGATCTACTCTTGTTTTCATCTTTGTCTACAAGCCTATTCCTTTGGCATGTTCCTGCCTCTAGACACAGTTAAGAGCCTAACCTAATGCCTCCACTTTAAGTAAGAACACATTAACTGTTGTTGTCACTCTACTCGTGTTCTTTTATTTTTCTTTAATAATCTTTTTTAAAAATTGATTTGAGAGAGAGAGAAGGGGGGAAGAGAGAAACAGTTGTTCCACTTATTAAGCACTCATTTGTTGATCCTTGTATGTGCCCTGACTGGAAATCAAGTCCACAACCTTGGTATATTGGGACAACGTTCTAACCAACTGAGCTACCCAGTCAGGGCTACTCGTGTTTTATGTGAGTCTTCTTCCCCCGACCCCCAGTGTGGGTTGTTTTTTTAATCTTCACCCAAGGATATGTTTTCATTGATTTTAGAGAGAGAGTAAGGGGGAGAGAAAGAGAGAAACATCAATGTGAGAGAGAAACATCTATCGGTTGCCTCCCCTATGCACCCCAACCTGGGATTGAACCCATAACCTGGTATGAGCTCACATAGGATGATGCTCCAACTGGCCAGGGCTTCAATCAGTCTTTATTGCCAGTTATGTCCCATAAAATTCTGAGCCTTTTCCACAAACCCATCCGTAAGACAAACACCCATTTAGAGGCTATTTTATTTCCAGCTGGTAGGCAGGAGGGGAGAGGATTCTGAGGTGTATGTGACCAGTTATATACCTGGCCTTAACACATATAAACATTAAAACATATACTGAAATGAATAATAAATGTAACATAAAGTGTTATTACATGAAACATCCTTTAAAGAAAATCGAAGTCATCTACGGTTCTCTTCTTGTAGGTGGACTTGAATGAAGAAGAAACTATATTGATCATCCGGCGTCTACATAAGGTCTTGCGACCATTTTTACTGAGGAGACTGAAGAAGGAAGTGGAATCCCAGCTTCCAGAAAAGGTATGTTGCAAAATGCACAAGTTATGGTTTCTTCCCCTGCCGATATGGTTGACATACCTGCACCTGGAATCTGTGTTTCTAAAACAGCAAGTTTGTCTTTTGGAAATCTCTTGAAGTGCTAATTTATTCGATAGAAGCTAGGGGGTTTAGTATAGAGAAGGCAAATTTCGGCATTTTCAGCCCAGTGTCCAAAATCTTTGGGCAGATTTTATAAAATTACCAAATTCATTGAGCTTTACCAAAGTCATTACACTTTAACTTACAGCCACTTTGCATACATTAATTAACTTAACATTGCATTTTACTTTAGATTTTTTTTTAAAGTTAACTAACCTCATTTGAGTTTATTCTTACAGATGCCATAAAAGTGTTCTGTTTGTAAACCAAATAAGGATTTGAGTTTGGAACTTCAATCATTATCAGAGGGCCTAGTAAATATTGGCCAAGTTTCCCAGAAATTTATTTAATACTAGAGGCCCGGTGCACGAGTTTGTGCACTTGGGGGTGGGGGGGGAGGCATGTCCCTCAGCCCGGCCTGCTCCCTCTCCCAATCCAAGACCCCCCTGGGGATGTCCAACTGCTGGTTTAGGCCTAATCACTGCGGGGATCGGGCCTAAACTGGTAGTCAGACACCCCCCAAGGGATGTAGCAGTGCGCCAAGCAGTAGGCAGCCAGGGAGGAGCCAGAAGAGTAATGGCTAACCTTTTGAGCTCGGCGTGTCAGCATTTTGAAAAACCCTAACTTAACTCTGGTGCCATGTCACATATAGAAATTTTTTGATATTTGCAACCATAGTAAAACAAAGGCTTATATTTTTGATATTTATTTTATATATTTAAATGCCATTTAACAAAGAAAAAATCAACCAAAAAAATGAGTTCACGTGTCACCTCTGACACGCATGTCATAGGTTCACCATCATTGAGCCAGAACCAGGGCCAGGTGCCACAGTGCTCGCACTCATCCCGGCCTGCTAAGCCTGCTGTCGTCATTCGCCATGGAGTCAGGAGAGGCTCCTGCTGCAGCTGCACTTGCCAGCCATGAGCCCGGCTTCTAGCTGAGCGGCTCTCCCCCTGTGGGAGTGCACTGACCACCAGGGGGCAGCTCCTGCTTTGAGCATCTGCGCCCTGGTGGTCAACGTGCATCATAGCAACTGGTCTTTCTGGTCATTCCGGTCATTCTGTCTTGAGGGTCGCTTAAGCTTTTATATATATGGATTTGATGCTTGTGATGTCACCATTCTAACAGGTGAAAAATAGAATTTCTACAAATTACAGAACCTTCATTTAATTATTCTTGGGCACAGTTTCTGTCTCACACCACAAACATGAAGTTCCTGAGAACATTTTGAGCAAGTATTTTTCAGATTACTTTGTGGACACTGAGTTTTCAGTGCTTTAGAATGTCCTTTGACTTGGCTCTGCACTTTTAGGTTGGATTTAGGTATTAGTTTAATATGTTTCTGATCATAGTTTGGAACCACACACATTTGAGTTCTAAATTTTATTCTCTTAAAGCAAAATTATTTGGCATTGTATACTATTATTTCTAGCATGAGATATTTTGATCTGAGCTTTCTCTTTAGGTGAGCCAAGTTTGAAATGTGTTATTTTGCACATTGTGTTTTTCTGTGTAATGACTCTATTTTTTGGACAGATTGTTTCATCCTGTTCATTTTTAAGTGGGAGCTGGAAAATAACATATGAAGTTGATCGGTTTGCTGAGAGAGAATTTTGTTCTCTATTCTTTAACAATTGAGAAAAATTAGAATTAAAGATGGTTTTTATAGCAGGCTTACTCCAGGAGTAGCCCAAACATTTAAGTGTTTTATTGTGCTAGTAAATGCATTATGGGCACTAAATGCTGTATCGATATTTACTTAACTTCTGTGGTCTCAGCATCTTTGGGTAACCCCTTTTCTGTTTCATATGGAGCTTAGCTACTGAATAGTTAAACTGGGGAATGGATACAGTGGCCATGTGGCTGCCTGGAGCTACCTCCCAGCATACTGTTACTGAGATCCTGCAAGTCATAGTGGTGGAATGTTACGGATTTTAATTTGTCCCATGCTTTCTTTTGTTTCTTTAGAAGAGCTGTAAAATAAAAGGTGACTAGCTAAAGTCCTCTATTTATTCATTCCATAAAATTTCTTAATCTTGTTGACTTATTTACTTACAAGACTGGCTAAATAGACATAGATTTTTTTAAAATGCATTACAAGTTAAAACTATGCCCTGTCTTAAGAAAATCCTGTATAATAAAAGCCTCTGTGGTCATGACGCCCTCATGCCCGTAACGAGTGATCACCAGGAGGCTACGTGCGCAGCCGGCACACACAGGTGGGTGGGGCTCCATGCGCGGCGAGGCACACATAGGTGGGCAGGGGCTTGATGCTGCGTGCATAGCGCGAAGGTGGGTTCCGCGGCTCCGCCCTACCTCTTTGGGGCAATCCATTGAGGAGCCCTGGATGGGTGGATGGGGCCTTCCTCTTTGGGGCGATCGATTGCGGAGCTCCCACACTGTAAGAGGGCACAGGCCAGGCTGGGGGACCACCCCCCACCCCCGAGTGCACGAATTTCGTGCACTGGGCCTCTAGTCCATTATATAAAAATCCAAACTTTTGCAACCTAAAGATTGTGGGGTGGTCATTTATTTCACAAAGGAATTCTTTACTATTTATTTTACTGTTCTTTCCATAAGAGTGCTTCTTGAGTCTGAATATACTTTTTAAAAAATTAGTATTAGAGTTTCGACAGTATGTCTCCTATATAAAGTACACATGTGCTCTTTAATAGCCGGAGCATGACCTCTGAGGTATGTTAAATACCCTGTATGTGATAGATTGTCTATGGATAAGCTCCCTTTTCCTGGAGGTAACTTGGAAGTGTGGAAAGCATGGGTTCTGCCATCAGAGTGGACAGGGTCCCCACCACATTCTCTGTCTCTTACTGTGTGAACTTGGGCAAGTCAAGTTAACCCAATGGGTGTCAAGGTTCTCATAAGTGAGCTATAAAATAAATGATACCTGCTTCATAGAACTGTTGAGAGGACTAAGATGGATGTACTACTACTACTACCGTGCCTGGCACGTGGGCAGCACTCAACTAGGGACAGCTACTCATGTTGCTGCTTCTATTATTAATGGAGGCCTCTAGGCCTCACTGTTCTCTCATTCTCGCACTTCCTGTGGCCCTCCCACATCGCTGTCCCCATAGTCCTTTCAAGGCAAGTTGTGGGGCCTAACCACTGTGTGTAGCTATGTGGCCTTATTGATGCCTTGTGGCCAGTGGTTATTCTGTTTTTTCTGTCTCGTGAGGACTTTTTTATCAGGGAAAAATTGGTCATTTAAGTATTATCCTTGGGGATAAGTTTTCTTCTACCTTCTCCTGCCTATAGCCACAAACAACATGAATGTCCTTCTCAGCCTGTGTAAGGACTCAGGAAGGAATTATGGCTATGGCAGGATAAGGCTGACTATAAATACTTCCACAGCAATAATTCTCAAATGTTTTCGTGAAAAGGAATCAATTAAGGAAGTGTTTTTTATTTTACGTATAATAAAATTTACTCTTTTGGGCACATAGTTCTAGAAGTTTTGAAAACTGCATAGTGATATTTCCCACGCCTACCTTCACAATACAGAGCAATTCTATTTCCTAGTACCCCCTCCCCGCCCCCGCCACAAATTCCTTAGTGCTGCCACATTTTAGCCAGAGCCTCTCTCCACTCTTAGTCTCATGCAACCACTAATGTGCTCATCCCACAGCTCTGCCTTTTCCAGAATGTCGTCTGAGTGGACTCAGACAGTGTGTGTCATCAGACCTTCTGCATCTGCTTTCTTTCACTCAGCATCGTGTGTTTGAGATGCATCCAAGTTGTTGCAAGTATCCATAGTTGGGTCATTTTTATTGCTGAGTAGTATTCTATTATGTGGATGCACCATACTTGATGAGGGATAAATCTGCTATAAACATTTTGTACAGGTATTTGTGTGAACACAGCTTTTCATTTCACTTGAGCAGATAATTAGGAGTGGGGCTGCTCGGCCATATGGTCAATGCACATGTAACTTTATAAATTTCCACACACTGCTCCAAACTGTCTGAACCATTTTGTAGTCCCACCAGCAATGTGTAAGCATTCCAGTTCCTTCCCTTTCTCATCAGTACTCATTGGGAAGTGTCAGTTTTTTAAATGTTTTTTAGCCATTTCAATAGGTGTGTAACTTTAATTTGCCTTTCTCTACCATCCAGTGATGGTAGGCATCTTTTCACGGGCTTAATCAGCCCCTGTATGTCTTCTTTGATGAAATGGTGCTCAAATCTTTTGCTTGTTTTTAATTTTTATTGCATTGTTTCTTTTTTTATTTTAAAAATATATTTTATTGATTTTTTACAGAGAAGTGAGAGGGACTAGAGAGTTAGAAACATCGATGAGAGAGAAACATCGATCAGCTGCCTCCTGCACATCCCCCACTGGGGATGTGCCCGCAACCAAGGTACATGCCCTGGACCGGAGTCGACCCTGGGACCCTTCAGTCCACAAGCCAACGCTCTATCAACTGAGCCAAACTAGTCAGGGCTGGATTGTTTCTTATTGTTGAGTTTTGTGATAGAAAAACTTAAAAACACACAATGTCAACCCTTTACGGTAATTCTGTTTAGTGTAGCTAGAGTAACCTTGGGAATATATTTCCTCAGATGAAACTAAAGCAGGCATTGGAAGGCCACAGTATGATAAATGCAGTTCTCCTTCATACAAAATTTAGTTTTAATGAATATTTAATAAAAATTAGTTTAAATCAATGGCTATTGAATAATTTTATGAGTCTAATGAAATACCTCATGAGCAAGGGAATAGACCGTCCAATACGGTAGGCATCTTTTCACAGATTTAAGCAGCCCCTCCCGCAAACCACCACCTACTGCTAGTATAAAACCCATCCCTCACACAATGGGGATTCCTAGGCTGGGTGTTAGGGGAGGTCTTCGGGGTGGATCAATAGAATATTCATCAGCTTTATGCTGATATACCAAAATGAGATTTATTCTCTTATTAAGGTGTGGTTGGCAAATGGCATTTAATTGGATTTCTATTATCTGTCTCCCTAAGTACGGTGATTTAAACTATTTACCCTCTAATTGGGGAGAAGTGCAAATCATTTACTCTTTTATTTTTAATTTATCTTTATTGTTGAAAATATTACAGATGTTCCCTCTGTTTCCCCATTGACCCGCCCCAGGCCTCACCACACTATTGTCTGTGTCTATGGGTTATGCATATAAATTCTTTGGTTAATCTCTTCCTACCCACCTACCCATCCCCACTTTAAGTGTCCTTGGTTTGGGAAGATAGGATTTACCAGGTGGACACAAACTGCTGGTTAACTGTCTCAGTTTCCCTATTCCACTTGCCTGGAATTTTCCTAGCTTCTTACTATTCCGTAACAACTATAGGTAAAATATAGTTGCAAAGCTTATGACGATGATTGTGACCATGTTTATCAAAGCAGTTTCTGGTATCCTCTAAGGACACGAAGGAAGAAGGTCAGAGTCCTCGGATGGGCTCCCCTCTCTGTTGACGCGACCCCTGTGGGATGTCCGAGTCCCCGTCTGCATGGTATCATCATGCCTCCTGTCCCCAAGCCCCTCACCTGCAGCACCTGGCAGCAGCTCACTGGTGGGGAGGGGGTTGAGGGTTCTGTACCCATGAGCCCTAATGCCCTTAAACACGAGCCTCGGCGTCTCTTCCAGCAGTGAGGCCCCGGGGAAGGTGAACGTCAGGGCAGAACTCACAAGCCGGAACCTCTGCTTGGTCACCTTTAACACAGAGTTTAATAGAGTGGACTGTTCCCAGTCCTAACTGCACCATTAATTAGCTGTATCATTTTGACTCAGTCTGTTCAACTTTTCGATGCTCTGGTTCCTTATCTATAAAATGTGGACACTGGCCCAGCTGGCATGGCTCAGTGGTCGAGTGTCCACCTAGGAACCAGTTCGATTCCCAGTCAGGGCACATGCCCAGATTGCAGACTGGATCCCCAGTGTGGGGCGTGCAGGAGACAGCCAGTCAGTGATTCTCTCTCATCACTGATGTTCTATCTCCCTCTCCCTTCCTCTCTGAAATCAATAAAAATATATTTTTAAAAAATAAGATAAAATGTGGACACTGAATATAAGTCTCTTAAAGCTCTTTGTAGAGAAATGAAAGAAGGCAGATAAATGCACGTGTGCATGGGGCCTGGTCCCTAAGAGCTCAATAATATTAACCCTGATGTCATTTTTATCTTTATACTCCTCTGAAGTTGTTTAACATTTTTCTTCACCATGATCAGATGTCATTGAGAGTTAATAGCTCCTGAAGAAGTGGAAGTACTTTAAAAATATGACACGATCAGGCGTGTAACACACAGAACCTATATTGCCTGCATCCTTATTTATTAAACTTGGAGATGTTTTTGTCCCAGCCTGGCCAAGAAGGTCATTAAAAACTAAAACAAGTCGATGGTAGGTTACTTGCCCTTCTGAACTTTTCTGCTAAGAGCCAGCCTTTCTCTAGTTTGATTTGGTGCATCAAAATGATTGGCAAAAGGCCATGAATAGTGGTTCCATTGAGCCTGACAGGTTTCTTCTAAAGCAACAATTGAATGAATAGTCAACTTCTCTTCATCTGTGACCTCCTCGCTCTGGCCCTCAGAGCTGGGAATAACCTGATCGTTTTTCATCAGTTTATTAAACATTAGGCAGCTTGCTGATTTACCTTTAATCACATTCTGCAGATTTCTAGGCATTAATCTGTTGTTTATTATGAAAACCGCACGTTTGTATTCTGGGGATTGTTTTAATAAGGTGAAACAATAAGAGGAGAGCATCCGGCGGATTTTATGCAGCAGGAGCGTGCTAGAAGGGATGCAGGTGTGTGCGGAGCTTTCTCTCGCTGCTGCAGATGGGCTTTTTGCAGCATTTCAGGTGGAAGCACAGGGGGTCTTGCCTTCTTTAGGTGGTCGTTGAACCCAGCTATGGATTAGGCCTTCTCCACCTGCTGTCCTCACTGGGGAGTGTCCTCTCAAAGCAGGTATATGAAAGTCAACCTAGGACTGTTACAAGTCTCATTTTAGGACTAGTATTGGGAGTAACCACATATCACCATTTGAAAACAAAAATGTTTCACAAAGAAAATCATAGGATATTGGCCATTCACTGTTTTTCCTAAACCTGTCCTGTTCCTGTAAAAAGGGGAGATAGTTGGGAGGCAGAAGAAATACTGAAAATATACTCTATATTCAGTATCTTTGAATTTGAACAGTTTACAAGCCATTCTCTCAAATTTGGAGCAAGTCATGAAAATTCCTAAAAGCATAGCCCTAGCCACAGTTACATATGACCTCTGGAAGGTCCCTCCACCATACCATGCCTTTAGCAACGAAGGCCATGGTCTGTTCCACCCCCCACCCCACCCCTTCCCAGGAATCCAAGTGGGGAAGCAGATACCTTCAGGCTCCTGGAATGCCACCAGCAGCTGTGTCTCAGCTATCTCTCTCTCTCTTTTTTTTTTTAATTAAAAATATTGTGTTATTGATTTCAGAGAGGAAGGGAGAGGGAGAGAGAGAGAAAAACATCAATGATGAGAGAGAATCATTGATCAGCTGCCTCCTGCACACCCCACATTGGGGATGGAGCCTGCAACCCAAGTATATTCCCTGACTGGGAATCGAACTGTGACCTCCCGGTTCATAGGTCGATGCTCAACCACTGAACCATGCTGGCCAGGCTCAACAGTCTCTTTAGAGCAGCACCTTCTCCCTCCTGCTCTCAACCACTTGCTGCTCTTTTCCCCCAGGTTGAATATGTGATCAAGTGTGACATGTCAGCTCTGCAGAAGATCCTGTATCGCCACATGCAAGCCAAAGGGATCCTCCTCACAGATGGTTCTGAGAAAGATAAGAAGGTGCGTGGCGGAAGGGGACGCAACGCAGGGTGCGCACGTCTCCTGGTGACCGGAACGTCCGATACCTGCGGGAAGCATCCTGCTCACGCAGATTTGTTAACGCATGTTACTGGGTCTCTTTTGCAGCTGTTGTAGCTGCCAAAGGACATCTCTTACCCTCTTCAGGGTAAACTACACTGTGGCAGGAAGAAAGGAGTAGGTCCTATCTCTGAAATAGCTATCTGTGCTCACGTCAGTTTGGCAGAAGACATATTCCGCCTAAAAGTGGGTGGCATTTTAGAAGTTTCATTTCTTGGTTCTCTGCCTTCCCAGAATCCTAGGGAATAGACAGTCATGTCACAAACCCATCGACTTGACATAACTCCTTCCTGGAGGATGTTAGTCACAAGAACGGTGTGATACCGAACCCAGAAACCGCCCTATTTTAGCAGGAGCTTTGGACCACATGAGGTGTGGGTTACGGAGACCGACAGCCCTTTGCCTCTTGTAGAAAAGCTCACTTTTTAACAATTAGAATCATCCGATCCTTTAATAACTTGTTCTATTTTGACTCTCTCCACGTGTTCTTAGGGGAAAGGGGGTGCGAAGACACTCATGAACACTATCATGCAGCTGCGAAAAATCTGCAATCACCCGTATATGTTTCAGCACATTGAAGTAAGTCGGTGTTCTCTGTTTTTTTAAGTTTTTAAAAAATATATTTTTATTGATTTCAGAGAGGAAGGGAGAGGGAGAGAGAGACAGAAACATCAATGATGAGAGAGAACCATTGATTGGCTCCCTCCTGCATGCCCCACCCTGGAGCTCGAACCCACAACCCAGGCATGTGCCCTGACCAGGATTGAACCGTGACTGCCTGGTTCGTAGGTCGACGTCAACGCTCAGTCAGTGAGCCAGGCCGGCCAGGCTGTGTTTTCTGTTTTGATCCTGACCCTGCTTGTGCTCTTCCTACTAATACTGCTTAAAAATTTTTTAATAGAAAAATACAACACGGTTAAAACGTGTATGGACGTTGAAATGACAGTTCTGCCCGTCAGATAGCTTAACGGGAAGAATTAACAAATGTGAATTTTCTGGTCATGGATGCTTTTTGGCACCAAGCACTTGAGCATCTGGAATTTTACAGCCATGAGTCTAAAGTGGTGAGAAAACGTTGTAAGCTATGGCTCATTATGTGGGTTTGGGTAAGTACTGTGAATTGCCTTGTTACGTGAGGCGCTCTGAAATGGAGGATAATGATCAATATATCCAGTTTCCTCAGGAGGATGCTGTAAAAAACATTAAAATAATGTATTTATACCTGTGGAAGAGAAAGATGTTCTTGAAATATTTTCTCTGTGAAAGACGCTGACCTTGGTTGGTTACTTAGATTTGTATTCTTCCTCCCTGGACTCCATCGAGACAATGTAAATTCAGGCTGTAAACCGCTGCCCTGGTCTTTATGAAGCTATTTCTAGGGGTGAGGACATTTTCTGCCCTATTCACTCCATGTGAATAAGTTTCCTAAATTGACAGAGTTTCACCCAGTGGGAACAATGGACTTGAGCGGCAGGAAGGAGCCACATTGTAGTCTCCAGCCTTCAGTGTTGCTGTTGATGCCGGTGGCCCAGGGGCAGCACCTCGCCAGCGTCGTGCCTGCTTCCCACCGCACATGGGCAGGGGCCTGGGGCAAGTCCCTGCAGGCTCGGGGTCCGGTCCGCAATTAAAACATACACACATGGAAGGATCTGAGGAAAAGAGTGAACAGTCACAGTATAAGAATGAGGTTGAGTATGCATGACTTTGGCAATTCGTTTTTTCTCCCTCGTTTTTGGTAGCTGTGCTTGTCAGAGTATTTATTGCACGCCTTCTCCCTGTACTGGAGCCCTGTTCCAACTCTGGTGGGGAATTAGAAAGACTCCTGATACTGCTTTTGCCTTCAAGTCCAAGGGCAGAGTTATCTATACACTAAAAAGCCCTAGATCTGGTAAAATGACATCAGCAACAACACTAAAAATAAAAAAAAATCCACCACCTGTCAGTGTGGCTCTGTGATTGAGTGTCGAACCATGAACCAGGAGATGGCGATTCAATTCCTGGTCAGGGCACATGCACAGGTTGCAGGCTAGATCCCCAGAAGGGGGCGTGCAGGAGGCAGCCGATCAATGATTCTCTCTCTTCATTGATTCTCTCTTTCTCCCTCTCTCTTCCTCTCTCTGAAATCAATAAAAACATATTTTTTTAAAAATCCACCAACAAGCCCTAACCGGTTTGGCTCAGTGGATAGAGCGTCGGCCTGGGGACTGAAGGTTCCTGGGTTCGATTCCGGTCAAGGGCATGTACCTTGGTTGCAGGCACATCCCCAGTAGGACGTGCAGGAGGCAGCTGATTGATGTTTCTCTCTCATCAATGTTTCTAACTGTCTATCCCTCTCCCTTCCTCTCTGTAAAAAATCAATAATAATATACTTTTTAAAAAATCCACCAACAAGCACAACTATTTAAACTATTAGACATATAGTGGAAGGAGAATTCAGTGTGCAATGAGTCCATACCCCAGGCCACTTCATAACGCAGATTGAGCCTACGGGGGTGAAACTCTGCATTTAGGAACTTTATTCACATGAACCGACCTGGTGTAAGTCACTCAGCCTCTCCAAGCTCTAGTGTACTTGACTTGTCACAATGGTCATGGATTCTAGGACTGACAAGAGGACGAACTTTAAAACAAGTCATATAGCAAGCATCTTGAAAACTGATAACATGTTGAACAGATGTGAGGTATCAATGACTCAGTCAGGGGTGGGGGGAGGGCTGTAGGCTGGGCTGGGAAGAACCAAAAACATGTCTATGATGGGGTCCTATCAGGTTAACCTGTCACCCACCATCTCACTTCTCTTAAAAACAATTTAAGATGTTTACTCTGCTACATAGTGGGGTTTGAGGACTCAGGTTGTGAGAATTAAGTGTCAGCCTTACCTCATTTTGGTTATCATACAAAACTAATCTTTGTAACATGCTAGGCCTGTCAGGAAGGGAGATGACACGGTCTCTCCTCCAGCTTCCGTCTGCGCACCTGGGGAGGGTGGAGGGAGAAGGCCATGGTAACAGGAGCGAAGGTTAAGTAGCATGTCCTCTATTCCACGTGTATTTGCATTTCGAATGGCAGTCAGTAGGAAAACAAACTTTGATTTGCAGGTATTTTTAGTTTTATTTTACTGACTTTAGAGAGAGGGTAGAGGAGAGGGATAGAGAGATAGAAACATCAATGAGAACGAAGCCTGGATTGGCTGCCTTATGCACGCACCTCCCTGGAGATCAAGCCCGCAACCCTGGACGTGTGCCCTGACTGGGAACTGAACCGGTGAACTCTTGGTTCATGGGTCCAGGCTCAACCTCTGAGTCGCACCGACCAGGCTGATTTGCAGTTTTTCAACATAAAAAACGTTCAGGAGCACATTCCTAGAAACGGGAGCCGCAGTTCCTGGCTAATGTGTTACTAGTGATGGGTCAGAGACGGTGTGTGCCTTCTGCCCTGGTCTTTGCTTTGTTGGCCACACAGCCTTTGTCCATACTGTCACAGCAGAAGCCCAGCCTCGCAACGGGGCTCCCTGCTCCCCTGGGGCTTCAAACCAGAGAAATGAAAACAGGTTGTGAGAGGTTTTTTTATTGTTGTTTGCTTGTTTTTTTAATATACCTTATTGATTTTTTACAGAGAGGAAGGGAGAGGAACAGAGAGTTAAAAACATCGATGAGAGAGAAACTGATCAGCTGCCTTCTGCACACTCCCCACTGGGGATGTGTCTGCAAACAAGGTACATGCCCTTGACCGGAATCGAACCTGGAACCCTTCAGTCTGCAGGCCGACGCTCTATCCACTGAGCCAAACCGGTCAGGGCGAGGTTTTTTTTAATGATGCTGATTCCTAATCATATCACCATCTAGTGACACATATCTCTTTGGTTCTTACAGCCCTGCTTAGAGAGAGGGTTAGAACCTAAACATCTAGTAAGGAATGGCTCTGGCTGCCTGTGGAGAGAGAAGGGGTGCTTTCTCAACATCAGAGTGGGGCTTTTGGCTGTTGTCCACGCAGGTCTGCGTTCTGGGGGCTGGACCTTCCATAAACAATGAGCATATTTGAGGGGAGAGCCCAGAGGGAAAGATCTGGTCCCTCTGGAAGGAAGGGAAGCAGAAAAAGGAGACAGCTGGTGGCTAATGGGAAGGTGGGACATCCTCTCCTTCCCCCAGATGGTCTCCCTTTCCTTCAGTGGGAGTGGAAATCACATGGAGGGCAGCCAGGTACTTCTCCCACAGCCGGGAGGAGGGGGCTGTGTGATGAAGTCCAGTGTTTTAAAGTGAGAGCTGGACCCCTGAGGGACGCTATACATGGAGGGCCTTATCTGTAATAGAGAAAAGCACAGTGTGCAGGGGACGTTAGGACCTCACTAAACTAAGATTTAACACGGAGTGTATGATCACCATTGCTTTCACTGTTAAGTATTTTCACAGTGTATTTATGTGCACATTTTAGACTTGATTTGCTTATATAAAGCTCTTCCTCTAGTCTCGACTCTATGCTCCTTGGGGGTAGATATTTCAGTTGTTTCTGGATCCCCCGAACCGTCCCAGCTCAGCCCGGGGCCAGGAGATGTTTAATCGCTGTTGGATGAATGAACTAACCCTGTCATCTCAGCAGGAGAGTCTAGAAGGTTGCAGAAACTCACAGGAGAGACATTCCTGGCAGAACAAAAGTCTGATTTCAAAGACATTGAGTTTCAGGTTCATCTTATCTTACTTATTATTTTGTTTAATTGTACTCTAGAAACAGATAGAATGACCTCACTAAAAGAGTAATCATTAAGTTAATAATTACATATCTGATGGGTTTTCTTTATTCATTTTCTTTTTCTCTCTCTTTTAAAGGAATCCTTTGCTGAACACCTGGGCTACTCAAATGGGGTCATCAATGGGTAAATCTTAAACTTTTTTTCTTCTAAAAAATAGTTTGTTGGTCCTACCTCAACTTTTCTCTCTCTGGTGTTATTCGTCATACAAATACACACAGCCAGCCTCCTTAGCCCTCTCCCCTCAGGAGAGCCTACAGAAGTTGTGAACCAAAATGTATCAGCATCTCTTGTACTTTAGTGGCATAAATCACCACATGCCTTGAGTAAGTGGCTATTCAAAGGACATAGATCTCATTTAATAGATTTAATAGTATCCTAGTTCTAAAAATGTTGTCGAAGCTTCAAGGGTTGTTATTTATAACCAATAGTGTAGCTTAGGCTTCAAGAGGATTTATCATATTAAATTTCAAGTGGATATTTAGTATTAACTCGTAGGAGTAGAAATGTCTCATCTACTATAAATATGTATGACTTTACAGTAATTTGTTAGAAATACGGTCTGTATAGGAAACATTTTTCATAAGCAGTGGACATTGAAGAGAAGCATGCCTTGCAGCAACAAGAAGGAACATGCATAACAGGAAGTCTCTGTTTTGCTTGCTTGGCACCAGGGAAAAGGTATTATTAGGACACAGGACTTATTCTTGGGTCCCAAGGGCAGACCATGTCACCAGGAATTGGAACGCATCCAGAAGCAGTGCCACCAGGCTCTGCTGCCTCCCCACTGCCCCCCTTTCTCTGGGTTCTGTGGTCGCTGCTGGTGCCATCAGGTTGGCCAGGGTTGCATATTAAGATCATGGTCACGGGGGGTGTTTGGAGGTCAGTTCTCAGAGCAGGGGAGGGACACTAGGACAACCTACAGTTGAAAATGTGTCTCTTAGACACAACACATACGTATTGTGTCGTAAAATCAGCTACCGAATGGTAGATTTCACTGTCCTAGACTGCAAGTGCCCTGGAGAGTTTTCTAACAATACCAGTCATACAATAAAGTTTTAATAACAACACACCCTTGTTGATAAAAGGGAAAAGTGGGTGATTGTGGAGGAAAACGGCTCTCCTTTAGCTTATTGACACTCTTCTCCATTTGATGGCAGTACACATTACCATTTAAAATATATATATAGTCCCTGCACAACCCCTACTGGGGATAGAGCCCCCATCCTGGGCATGTGCCCTGATAGGGACTCAACCATGACCTCCTAGTTCATAGGTTGATGCTCAACTGCAAAGCCATACTAAGGAGGCATATTACCATATGTATTTTTTACTTGAGTTTTCTGCCTAAGCCAGGACTCTTGCCCCCTTCCCAATGCATTCCAGCACAGTGTACATGGTGATCTTATAAAAAGATATATCACCAAAATACATGGTAAAGGAAGAGGATTTGAATTTGGGTGGTGGACACACATTGCAATATACAGATCATATATTATAGAAATGTACACTTGAAACCTATGTAATCCTATTCACCAATGCCATCCCAATACATTTAAGTTTAAAAAATAAAAAATATTGGGGGGGGGGCAATGGGGGCAAAAGAACATATATGTAATACCTTAATCAATAAGGAAAGAAAAAATAACTATATATATATATCATATATATGTCAGATCTTGTCACTCCCCTGTTTAAAGTCCATCAATGGCTTTCCATTGCCCTTAAAACTGACAGGTGCAGTGTGGTGAATGGAGCGCTGCAGGTCTGCCCGTCCCACCCTCTGCCACTCTGCTCTCCTCTCCCAGTGTTCTCTGCTCACTTAGGTTTAAGTCCCACACCCCCTTTTTTTTTTCTTTTCTTTTCCAGTTCCTCAGTCTCACCAGGCTCTTTTTTACTCCTCGGGGCTTTGTACATATTCTCCCCACTTCCTGGTATCTTGTCCTCTCCTCTCCCAAACTTTCATCCTCCATGGGCTGCCTTTTGCTCAGTCTTTTAGGTTATAGCTGAACTGTTATTTTTTTCAGGGAGGTCACAACCCCTGACATTGGAAACCTGTTAGCTGGCATTTTTTCCCCTGGAGGCCAGATCTCAAATGTTTTCACCTTTGCAGGCCCAAAGGTCTCTGTCACACCTGCTCAGCTTTGCCCATGTAGCATGAAAGGAGCCATAGACAACACAGTGAGCATGGCTGTGTCCCAATAAAACTGTACTTTACAAAAACAGCCATCACACCGGGGCTGCAGTTTGACCAACTCTCTCTCCTCTAAAGAAGGTAGTAATGTGTTGCTGTAAGTTCTCTCTTGGCAACTTGGTACCTTTTTAGTACTTACACAATCTATGATGACCCATTTTGAAGGCAGGGATTCTGTTTTGCTTATCACTATGCACATGCCTAGCATTGTGCTTGGCACAGAGTAGATGCTCACTAAGTATTTGAATGACTCTTAAGTGCCCTAAATTAACAATTGTATATGCTTAATAAGTAAGGATTTAGAAAATAAAACATATACATGTATGTTTGTGTAGCATATGTAATGCACTCTTTATGAGTTTTGTATATATTTTTATTTTTCCATTATATACTCACTGCTTTGGAGTGGATATTCACTCATTCATTCCACAGTTACTTATTGTTTATGATGCACAGGGAATAATATGAAAAGCGGAGTTATACTGGATCCTGCAAGAAGACAGCAGTAATACTGTCTTCTTGTTTTGCATTTTTGGGTTCAGGGCTGAGCTGTATCGGGCCTCAGGAAAGTTTGAGCTACTTGATCGTATTCTGCCAAAATTGAGAGCGACTAACCACCGCGTGCTGCTTTTCTGCCAGATGACGTCTCTCATGACCATCATGGAGGATTACTTTGCTTTTCGGAACTTCCTTTACCTGCGCCTTGATGGTGAGTACGTGAGGAACTAGAATGCGAAGCCCTGCTCCTGAGAGTACAGAAATTACGGGCACTTAGATCCAATCTCCTCGGAAAAGGAGGGGTGAGATTATTGAAGAATTAACTAACAGGGTGGGTGCCGCTTTTCTAGATACCGATTTTCATACCCTCAAACTCAAAATAAGCTGAAATCCCTTGCACAGCTGTTTATCCCCACACACAAGCCAATACAAGTGAGCTAGAGTCATTTACTGGCATAAGTTCCACCATTAAATGAAACTGAAATAAAATTTAAAAACCCTCCTTGCTCTTAGGATTATCTATTTCCTTTGCACCATATGGAATATTTTTATAAGCTGTTAGCTTTTTGTGTTAGGGCATGTTTTAAGGGGATAAAGGCTATGTCTCCTTTGTTCAGTAATACTGAAATAGTTCAGTTAAGATTATATTTCATTATCATTAAAGCTCTTCTCATTTTCTAAGCAGAATATATCTATATGTTACATTAAGAGATAGGTTTCCATTGTTTCCTGGATTTTGCAAACTATCCCATATAATAAAGAGCTAATATGGCAATTAGACCGGACGGGCGGAACGACCTTCTGGAACGAGCAGTGGGCAGGGGAGTGTGGGGCCCATGAATTTCATGCATCGGGCCACTAGTGTAAAATATTTCCCTGATACTAGGAGAGAACTTTAAAGACCATGTCCTAAAAAATTAGTAAGTATGAATTTAGGGATATATGATTTCTATATCAGCCCCAGTACTTTAGAGATGAAACATACTATACTTTTCATACTATAGCAGGGGCTAAGACTTTCAAAGAGTGGTAAGTGGGAATAACTAATTTAGAGCCAGGATGGTGTAAATCCCCGAAGAATACATTATTACTAATACCAATTTTCATCTTGTGCAATATACAAGTTATTGTTAAATGTTAACTTAGTTTATGTTTCATTGAAAGGTTTTATTTTTATCCTCCCTTTGCCATGAATTAGACATAGCTAGACATATACCAAACCTCAGACTTGCCATACTTGAGTTTTAATTTAATTTATTTTAAATATATTTTTACTTATTACAGAGAGGAAGGGAGGGGGAGAGAGAGAGAGAAACATCAGTGATGAGAGAGAATCATTGAGCAGCTGCCTCCTGAACGTCCCATACTGATGATGATCGAGCCCGCAACCGAAGCATGTGCCCTAACCAGGAATCGAACCATAACCTCATAATCGAACCTGGTTCATAGGTCAGTGCTTAACCACTGAGCTACGCTAGCCGAGCCATACTTGAGGGGTTTTTTGTTGTTGTTTTTTTTTTAAATATATTTTATTGATTTTTTACAGAGAGGAAAGGAGAGGGATAGAGAGTTAGAAACATCGATGAGTGAGAAACATCCATCAACTGCCTCCTGCACACCCCCTACTGGGGATGGGCTCGCAACCAAGGTACATGCCCTTGACCGGAATCGAACCTGGTACTCTTCAGTCCGCAGGCTGATGCTCTAGCCACTGAGCCCAACTGGTCAGGGCCATACTTGAGTTTTAAATGAATTCTCTTCATGATCTCCCTCTTAGGGTATTTTTAAAAAATGAATTATACCTCTGATAGACTTGATTTTTAAAAATCTTTTTACCTCTCTCCTCCAATGTCACTAACAACAGATGAATGGTTAGGTAAATGGTAATTTTGAATTCAGGACGCAGTTACATCCTCCACAGTCTGTCTCTTTTGGCAGCACTCCTGCATTGTCTTGTCCTCTGCCCGGATCCCTCCCTCCCTCTCTGGGAGAGGTCAGCTCTCCTTCGCCACTCTCATCTGAAAGCAAACCTTCCTCCATTGTGCTCAGGGGAGGGGCAGCCCAGCCCTCTGGCCCCCCTCTCTGCCCCCCACAGGTGTCCTAGATGACTTGTTTACCAGTCTGTGGCTTTTTGTTTTGAATCTCAGCTCCCTGAGGATAGCAACCCTGGAATGTTGAAGTCTGTGAAATTGACCAGAAATGATTTCCTTGAAACAAATCTCTCTCCTGTTTTCTCCCCAGTCTCAGAGTATCTTTATAGTCTGTTGGTTGCTGTCCTTATTGTTACTACTGACAACAGTCCTAAGAGCTAACGTATATGGAATGCCTCCTCCATGTGGGACGGCAGGCCACCCACCTCTCGTGCACTGTTAATGTAATTTCCTCAGCCAGCCAGCTACAGTTGTCCCGTTTACGGAGGTATTGCCATGATCCCCATTTAACGGATGAGAAAGCAAAGGTTTTAGAGAGATGAGTTAATGGTGAAACCAGGTTCTGACTTAGGTCTGTCTCCAAATTAGCTGCTTTAACAGATCCAGTGAGATATAGCCATTTCTGAAAATGTAGGCTGCTGCCCTCTCAGCAGCATTTGAAGGATGATTTTGAACTGAATCAAAAAAGTTTGATTGATTGATTGAAAATAACCAGTCACCAGAGGTACAAGATGAATGAGCCACTCACGGTTCCTGCTGCCAACCCCCTTCCCATTAGGTTGGAGGAGACAACTCAGCAAGTTCCATCCAGCATTAGAGATGGGTGGAGAAGGCCAGACAGATTTCCACCCACAGGAACCAGCAGCCATGTGTTTTGGGGGTGGAGAGCATGGTGGGCAGACAGTCAATATACACGGGAATAAATTAGTGCCCGTGCTTCTGTACCACTTCCACCTACCACCCTCTTCACCCAGTTCCAAAGACTTCAGATTTTCAGCCAAATTTGATGTCTGTGATTTTTGACCTCAGGAAAGAAAAGAAAAAAACCACTTGATGACAGCTAAGCAGATTTTTCTGCAAAGATTGTGGTTGCATGAATAGGTTTTAGCTACTATTCCATTATAGTCTGTTTTCACTGGAAATGATTTTTGAGTGAAAGCAAGTGGTGAAGTTACATCCTAGAAGGCCGAATTTTCCCAAAGCACTTGACACTCAGTTAAAATTAGTAATTATGAAAGCCTGGCAGTATGTTCCTCCTGGCAAATTCTGCAGTTCTCAACACAATTGCCCTTGCTATTAATTGTATTCTTGGTAATGTGCTACATCAAAGTCCAGAAGAACCTGGGCCGGGTGCACATTAAATCCTGTGCCACCTTCAAGGAGCATTTATTTGCCTGTGGATAAATCCTGACAAGGTAGTTTGAATCTCCCTGAGCAATATCCCAAAGATTGCTGATGATCAGCAAAGATCTTGACTTGGGGAACCTTTGACTAATGGATATGGTAATGCAGCAAGTTCTGAACATTGTAATAAAAAATGCCATAGCTTTGCATGAAAAGTGATTTAATTGTATTTTCCCTTGGTTTTATAACTTGTCAAGTTCCCAGCTATTTTATATAGTTTCAATATATATCAGATATGTGGTCGGTCTGTTTGCTTGAGGTATTTGTCATGGGGCCTGAAAACTCCTTTCATCAAATAATTTTGATAGTCCTTTTGTTTTTCAGTGCTTTGTTTTTGCATCTAGGGTTATTTCATCCCAAGTAAGCATATCCACGAATTAATCTTTTTTTTTTAATCCTCACTAGAGGATATGTTTTTATTGATTTTAGAGAAAGAGGAAGGGAGAAAGAGAGAGAGAAAATACATTGATGTGAGAGAGAAACATCGATTGGTTGCCTCCTGTACATAGTCTCTGGCCAGGGATCGAACCCTCAGCTTTTTGGTGTACAGAGCCATGCTCCAACCAACTTAGGCAGGGCTCTACTAATTAATCTTAATGCATGTGACCATAAACTGGTTATTTTTTAGTGGATCAAAACTGAACTTCTCCCCTGAGTACATAGACGCACAGTTTTTGTACTCTGCTACCAGAAAACAGTTCTCCCTGGGAACTCCTTTCCGAATTTTAGAAGCATCTTTTCCGTTTCTATGGCTGATTATTTACATAAAGCAGAGGATAAATATGTGAACCATTACTTCATGTGAGTAATTTTTCAAAAATGATTGTCACTGGAAAGATGATGGTGGCAAAAAGTTTTCATGGTAAAACAGATCTTCCATGAACACCGTGAACAAGTAGCTCCCCATGAACAAGTAGTTCTGAAAATAAAAGAAAAACGAGCCCCACGTGTTTGAAACCTCGTTCAACAAAGCACATTTCGTGATTCTCCCCCAAATTCTAAGTTCTTAACAGTTCTTTGTTGCAGAGTTTGACCAGGTCACTAAACTTGAAATCTAATTTAGAAAGTAAAATGAGCTCTAAAGAACGTGGCTTCAGTAACTGAGAGTCCCCCCCCCCCCCCCAAGCCACATCTGCTGTATGCAAGCAATCAGCTCTTTCTCCCTCCTCAGGAGGGTACTTATTACTTTTATTAATATGAAAAACAGATCCCCCATGTTTGGGAACTTGACCCTCATAGTAACTTGATTCCATTAACCGTAGTCACTGAGCTGTTTTAATCCTCTGAAATAAATTGCTAGTATAGTTTCATCCTTAAGAAAAGAACACCATGTAGAAATAATGTTTGTATAGCAGGCAGTTAGGGACTATCATGTAACGTGCATATATATTTCCCAACAGCCTCAGGCCTTTTTTTCAAAACTCCGCAGCTCCACTTCTCTGCTGAAATATGTTCAGGTAGAATATGTAGATTCCTTTCCCTTCCACAGTGCAGTTCAGGTAAATACATCACAAACCCAAGGCATGTGATTGAGTGGCTGTTTCGGGACACCAGTATGGTGCCTTGGCATCCGAAAAGTGAGCGCCTTAGCCTGCGGTTGGGATGCTCCACTTACTCACTGCTTTGGAATCTCCTCAGACACCACGGGGTGAGCCATCGCCAGGTGTGTCACGCGCCGCTCTGTTGGGCTGAGTTTGGCGTCCTTTGAACTGTCAACATGAGAAACAGACTGAGAGATTCCTTCTTCCCCCCACCCCCCTTCTAATTATTGTGGCTTCAAGCCTTGCTACAAGGATAAAAATATTCCCTCCACATTTTATGTATTTACCAGCCAGATCGTGCTCAGTAGCAGTCCACATGGTGACAGTGTAGTAGCAACTGATTTTCCTTTTGTTTCCATTCTCTTGGCGTAAACAAGACCTCACACTAATGCCTATCGGCAAAGTTGCTTTAAGCCATCATAATCATCGTTTTTTGCTCTGTGTGTGTGTTTTAAAATATATTTGGTGGTGGTAAGCACAGGAACATATCCAGAAAACGTTTTCGTTGAGTTTTAGGTTAGCATAAGAATATTGTACAACCTGTGAAGTTGCAGAGGTGCCCAGTCCAAAACGTTTATATTCTTTCAGCATTTTGGAACTCTGGGTGATAGACAAAGTGTTCCTTCTTAATCTGAGAGAAGTCTCTTTCGATTGCTCCATTATTTTTCTTTTCTTTCTTTCTTGCAAAATTTTCAAAGTTCCTTTCAAACATACAGAAACCTCCAGGGGTTACCTCACCAATGCCGAGAGGAGTCTGAGTCTGTTTCTCAGGGAAGCAGGCCTTTTTGTCTTGCTCTGCGCCATGTTCAGACAGGAGTTAATTGGCAAATTTCTTTTTCTTATCCCCTCAGGCACCACCAAGTCTGAAGATCGTGCTGCTTTGCTGAAGAAATTCAACGAACCTGGGTCCCAGTATTTCATTTTCTTGCTGAGCACAAGAGCGGGAGGCCTGGGCTTAAACCTCCAGGCCGCCGACACCGTGGTCATCTTTGACAGCGACTGGAATCCTCATCAGGTCTGCGTGTCCCTGACTTAGCTGCCCCCGGAGAGGAGCTAAAAGACCAGCCGTTTCATCACTCACATTGGTGGGGCAGAGCAAAGTTCTACACAGTGGGCCATGTTTGCAGAGGGAAAACAGCCCCGCACATTATTACGGCTGTTTTCTTATCTCCCTTGGAGCATATGGAGATGTCTTATTCATACCTTTGATAGAGCTCAAATTTAGGGTTGAAATACTTAGTTTCTGCTTCGTTTTTAACCTCATTTCCTGGGATGGCCACTGACCGAACTACTTGGTTGGTGAAGGATAAATCAGAAGTATTCCAAAGTAAAAACAACACAGGAGCAACTCACATGGCTTGGCCCTTACTCCGTGCCAGCCTCGTCATGCACATTGCTCCATTCAACCTTCACACAGCCATGTGAGATTGTGACTGTTACTATTCGCTTCCTCACAGTCAAGAAAAATGAGTTTCAGGAAGTGTAGGTCAAGCATTGCATATATGACAGATAAGTTTATAGTCTGTGTTTTGCTTAAAATCATCATCAAAAAATATTCTGTGGAGCATCAACTATGAAGTTCTTCTAGCAGGTAGGTTTAGAGTTACCTTTTGGTGATTAATAAATCATCGAATGGGTCCCTTGTGGCCCTGGGTTAGTAAATTATGCTGGGAGTTGTGCACCTGCCTGTAAGATAATTGGGTGGATGCTGTTCGTCAGGCTTGATTCATATTGGAACCAATGTTAACTCAAAATAGTAAAAAGGGACACTGTGGCTCTCACATATGAGTATGAATTCTCCATCAGCTTCACGTGGGCTCCTTTCTGCACCTTGGTTACCTCAATGGTAAATATGCAGAAAAATACTGCTTTACTGGGTCACTGTGACAGTTGGGTGGAAAAGGCTTGTGGCGGAAGTTTTGGGCAGGAAGCTGGGGTTCATGGGTGCATTAGAATTAAGAGGGAGATTTTACAAAAGCATAAATGCCTGCTTCCCCAATTTTGAAGGTGCTTCCCACCCATACAGACTCCATGGACTTTTCTATACATTCAGATGCTCCCAGGAGAGTCTGGCATAGGTTTTCTCACACAGCGGACAAGCACTGATTTACAGAATAAACCAGTGGTTTCTAACCTCGGGGTGGCCACCAACTCTGACCATTGCCTGTGCCCACCTGTCACTCTCTTTAGGTGACTACAGTGGAATTGCCGTTAAATCTTTCTGACCTTGAAGAGGGTTCCAAATCTTCAGGAAGTATTTGGATGTAGTTTTACATCCCACACTTCACTCCAGAGCATTGGTAGAATTCGTATTTGTGTGAGAACTCTGCAGCTCTCCTGTGGACCATTGTGAATTCAGCATCTGTTCCACAAACACTTTCTGAGTGGCTGCTGTGGCCCAGGTGCTGAGCTAGCTGGGTGTCTAGGGGAAGGAATTTGTGATTTCTCTCTTCCTGGGTGCTCAGTGTGGTTGGATGTTAGATTCCCCTCCTTGCTGCTCCCTGAATCTCCATTGAGAAACAGTAACTTGTCTGTAGGTGAATGGAGAGTTCACTAGATTTTATCTTCTGAGGTAAACATTTCTATGGCATCTCAGTTGTCCACTTTCGTTGGTACAGTGCTAATTCTAAGACCCAAAGGAAATCACTTTCTGGAAATGCTAATTTACCATGAGAAAGGATGCTGGGACATATATGCCTGCATCTCTCTCTCTCTCTCTCTCTCTCTCTCGCTCTCTCTCTCTCTCTCTCCCTCTCTTCTCTCCCTCTCCCTCTCTCCCTCTCCATCCCTCCTTCCCTCCCTCCCTCTTTTTTTTCACACATAAACACACATACACACACACACACACAAACTTTTATGACCAGCACCTAAAGGTGGAACTCCAGAATCAAAGTAAATTACATGAACACCAAACAGTTGACTTTTAAATGTATATGAATTAAAACACAGGGCCCCAAACTTTGGGAGGTCTAATTTACCAGAAGTTTATCACATTGGGCCACACATTTCTGGAAGTATTTCTATCTGCCATGGGTGGATTCATTTCTACCTGGTTTGATCAGGTTGGCTGACTGGATTTTTCTTATCTATCATTTATGGTCACTAGTTTGGGCAAACCGTTATTTTTTTACTTTATTTTTGGAAGTCAGCGATGTTAGAGTGATATAGATGAGTGCTAATTTCTTTTATTTAAAGGGTAAGAACGAATTAAACAACAACTCTACCAGAAACTGAGGCACTTACGTAGCATAACTTACTTCATGCAGTCCTCAGACTATTTTACAGGAAACCTGTAAGGAAACCCGTCAGTATTAACTAGCCCAGGACCACAACCAGGTTCACACCCATGTCTGCCTGGGTTTGGGTTTGCATCCTGGCTTTTGGCTCTTTCTACCCTGTACCCTGCATACATGTTGCATAGTCCCCACAATGAAAGTTATGGAGCTTTTCTTTTTTTACTTGTTGGCTTCTGCATGCATTGAAGGAAATTTCTGGGACTATTCTGTATGGTGGTGAATCAAAATCAAGGCATATTGATGACAAAGGGGCTTTATTTGACCGAGGTGGACAGATTAAAGATAAAAGCCTTAAAGTTGCTAATTGGAGGCCCTAGAAGCAAAGCTAGAACAGGGATGTGGAATTAGCAATAAAAGCCCCCAGGGTTACCAAGACTTTTCATCTCCAAACTGTTGATTGGAAACATGGGTTGGTACTTTTATTTTTAATCCATGGGACTGAAGCTGTGTTACTACAAAATGGTCAACCACAAAGTCACCTTGATGGCCTTCTTGTCGGGCTGTTTTTGGCTTCAGATATAATCACACCCAAATCATTGTGATGAAATATCACACCACCAAGACCTCAGAAATACCGAATCATCCATTCAATAATTACAACACTTATTTCCTTGTCACAATGTCCTCCCGACCCCTGACGTTCTGGCTCAGGGACTCACAGGCTTACGTGGCATAAACTTCTTCAGCCTAGAAATACTAATTTTTGCCACTTTCCAAACTGATAGATGGCCTTAAAACGACAAAGAAACACCACTCTACCAGAAACTGTGAGGCACTTAGCACTGCCACCATCACAAAAGCAAAATAAAGCTAATTGCAATAAGCACCCGATGATGTAAAACCTTTTTACGCTGTCTGAAGACACCCCACACCCTCTGCTCCCTCACCTGCCACTTTCTCCTGCCAGCTGCATCCACTGTTTTGTGGTTTACCCACTTCTTCTAGGACAGGGGTCCAAACTGTGACCCACGGGCTGAGTCTGGCCCGCCACCTGTATTTGTACGACCTGCAAACAAAGGATGATTTTCACATTTGAAAATATAAAGTAAAATTGGAAAAAAGCAACCAGCCTTTTGGTGAGATCAGTTGCCCAGTGTTTGCTCTGGGCCCAGACAGCCTGGACTGGTTCCCCCTGGGCTCCTGGTGGAAGTGGTTTCTGACCCTGTTCTGGGAGATGGTCAAGAGGTTGATGACATAAAACCTGCCATCTTGGCTCCTGCTTAGCTGCTCTGGTGACGACGTGTTAGAGAGACGATTGAACTAAAGGCTTGAAAATGAAGTTGAGGGATTTTTTTCCTTCCTCTGGATTTTAATTATCTACCTCACTTTCTCCTCTTTGGAAAATAATGGAATTTGGATGAGTCCCAGCTGCGTTCATGGTTCAGCTGTCCAATATTTATAGTAACTTAAATATTCTGAGGAAAAACTTTTGTCTAATTAGTCATTTGACTGTACAGACCCCAGCAGCAAAGACAGGGCCCCTGGGCAGACCCTGGCCTGCTGCCTCCTGTGCCGCACGGGTGACAGGAAGCTCGTCTGGTTGAGAGGATGGGCTTACAGCTGTGGAGCATCAGCTCTGTGCACAGTCAGTGCCAGGGACGCAGGATACCGGGATCAGACCTCTGCCCGAAAGCTGTATATGGGTCTGCCGGGGACACCATGAAACAACTAATTCGCATTTCCCCAGAGGCCATCCTCTGGACCAGAATGAATGAAACTGATACGCCAAGTTTTTATTGTGTAGCCTTAAAACTAGGCAACTCTGCTTCATAGTTTTATAAAGGATTTAATTTAAAAATTTCATTAAAACCCTTTTTTAATTAATATTTTTTAATATACATAATTTTATTACAAAATTTTTAAACAAAATACAACAGTCTAGAAAACCAAAAATTTACTATTGATACTAATTCCTATGAGTTTGCTGTGCTACCATACACAAGAAATTAAAGAAACCATTAAATATTTAGAAACATTTACCATCAGAAGCCTTAAAATCTAACTGTATGTAGTAGCCCCTCAAAAAGCTACAACCTTCATTTTTTTTATAAAAGTATTTTCTCTACAAAGAATCTTACCAGCTACACAAAAATCTGTACAGTTTTTATACTGAAGCTAATATTGAGCTGCACTTGAATTCACATTCTTAGCAAAACAATTGCCGGAGAGCACACACACATACTCCACACACATCATTACAGGGCAGCATTTATTCTTCATCTTCATCCTCTTCATCATCATCATCTTCCTCTTCCTCCTCCTCCTCCTCATCTTCTGGTTCATTTTTCTTCATTCTTTTCTTTTTAAAAAGATATTTTTATTGATTTCAGAGAGGGAGGAAGGGGGGAAAGAGGAGAAGGAGGGGAGAGAGAGAGAGAGAGAGAGAGAAACATCAATGATGAGAGAGAATCATTGATCGGCTGCCACACTGGGAATCTAGCCGCAACCCTGCATGTGCCCTGACCAGGAATCGAACCGTGACTTCCTGGTTCATAGCTTGATGTTGAACCACTGAGCCACACCAGCTGCGCAAAACCTTTTTCTAATTAGAAGACTAATGTTTAAAGCAGAAAAAAACCACAGGAAAATAAAATGAAGACCATTCAGTAACACCTATAATTTTATTACCCGGAGATATAAACATTAACTGGCTTGTTGGTGTTTGCCCTTCCTGCCTTTTCTTGGTATAAATACGCACATATAAGGTCATCATACACACATTCACATTTAACTTGTTTTCATATATACGTTTTCACTTATAGCTTTATGTCATTAAATCTTCAATATAGTTTTTATGATACTATGTTGGTACATGCATATAGTCGAAGACTATAATTTATTTAATCTGTTATTGAATGTTTCCTTAATTCTGCTTTTTTAAAAAAAACATCATTAGTAATAGATAATGCTGAGAAGTCCATCCTTATTTGTACAACTTTGTTCCCCATCCATGATTATTTTCTTAGGACAGGTTTCCAGAAGTGAGCTTTCTGGGTCAGGGGCCATACTGAATTTTAGCACTTTTGATACATAGTGCCAACTATCTATCCCCAAAAAGGTTATCAAAAAGTAGTACCAGTTTATTAGCCTACTAGGAATCCTTTTCACTCCCCAAACTAAATTTTGAGTCTTTGACAGAATTAGATCCCAGGAATTTGCTACATGAGCAAATCACTGTATATATAATGTATGTATGTATGTATGTTTATGTATGTATAACTCAGTGATTTTTAAAAATATCTATTTTTATTGATATCAGAGAGGAAGGGAGAGGGAGAGAGAGGTAGAAACATAAATGATGAAAGTGAGAGATTGATCAGCTGCCGTCTGCACGCCCCCTACTGGGGATCGAGTCAGGCATGTGCCCTGACAGGGATTTGAACCGTGACCTCCATCCAGTTCATAGGTGGAAGCTCAGTCACTCAGCCACGCCAGCTGGGCTCAGTGTTGTTTTAACACCTTACAGGTGATTCCTGCAACTTAAAGTTAGTTGTAGGTAACATCAGATTTACTGTTGTTTTGATTTATTTTTTAGTTAGGGATTAATTTTGATGGTGAACCTGGGGACAGATAAAAACAGCCCAAGACCTGGATTTCAAAGCCTGAGGAATATTTCGGTTGGCTTGGCTAATTTCAACCCATGTTCCCTCAACTAGGAATAAGGGCCTTGAATCGTTCCAAAGAAGATAGCTTGTATATTTTAAAAATGAAAGCAAAATCTTCCATTAGTGAAGGTGGAGTCAAGTGAGCCTCCCGTAGTTCCCTCCCAGTAGGCGAGTGGTTTTCTTGGCTCATCCAGGCACCTGGCCCTCACGGCGCCCTGTTCTCGCCCGCAGGACCTGCAAGCCCAGGACCGAGCCCACCGCATCGGCCAGCAGAACGAGGTGCGGGTGCTGAGACTCTGCACCGTGAACAGCGTGGAGGAAAAGATCCTGGCTGCCGCCAAGTACAAGCTCAACGTGGATCAGAAGGTGATCCAGGCGGGCATGTTCGATCAGAAGTCTTCAAGCCACGAGCGCAGGGCGTTCCTGCAGGCCATCTTGGAGCATGAGGAGGAGAATGAGGTATTAGAGCCACCTTCATGAAATCAAACAGTGGCTTTGGTGTCCGACGATTAGGAGTAGCCTCTGTGTTCTTGAAAGAACTTCCTGGGCCGGCGTTAATGAAAAGGAATAAATTAGCTGCTGTCTTCCATCCCCAGCACAGAAAGCCTATGTGAGTTTCCCAAGTGTTTTAAAAGCAGTTGTCACAGGCATCTCACGGCTTGGCCACCCCGCGATGCTTCCCCGGTTTCTCCCGGGAGGTGCAGCCAGCATGCCTATTGCACTGCCAGTGCTGCTTGCTGCAGGGCGGGTAGGAGACCGCAGAGGCCACTGTCAGGGACAGACCCCGCTGATGAGACAAGAGGCGCGGGGAGGGGCCTTCCTTGCCTTTCCCTGCACCATCCTGCAGAGCCCTCGGTCTCTGGTCTCTTGACGGGAGATCACAGCACTCCCGTCGTTTAGGACAAGCCCTCCCAGCCTTTGGGAAGGTAGGACCTGACCTGGTTTAGGGAGAATGCAGGTCGCCTGGAGCTTGGCAGGGAGATGTTGATCTCTCCCAGCCCTGAGGGGGGCGCAGGGTGGAGCCTGGAGTGGCCATCCATGCCTCTCGCTTCTCTGTGAGCAGCCTGCAGGGGCTCCACACGCCTGCCTGGCGATCAGCGTGCCAGACACGTTACCCTTTTCTGGGTGGCCTGTGTCGGATGGGAAGGCGTTCGGGGACACAAAGAGACGGCGGACAAAGGCTCTGGTCCTGAGTGTCTGAGGCAGCGTGGGCTGCCATCTCTGCGCTGACAGGCTATGCATTACTAGGGCACAAGGAGCCCAGGAAGAGTTATTGCCCACTTCCCTTTGGGTTTGTTCTCCGGAGGGCCCGGCCACTGCGGGCAGGCTTCTTGCCAGTTTACAAGGGGAGCTTCTTATCTGGGCGCGGGGACGTGCAAGCCCCCCACTACAGGCAGTGGAAGGCCAGCGTGGTTCTGGGAAAGGGGTGAGCAGAGCAGGACATCCCTTCTCCAGAAGTTGCATGCACCGACTCTTTGTACTGCGTCCCAGCCCACCCCCAGCTCATCTGTGTCTTTGTCAGATGAAGTGGAATATTTGGACACATTGACTGTAATCAATCTAAAGATAAACTAGAATAGACGATTTTTCAAAACATCCATTTCTTACTCGATTGAATTGCATTCATTTCTAACGCAGTGCATAAAATGTTATCTTGGGAGCCCACAGTCATCTCATTTAAGCTGTTGGCACACTCGCACTCTTTCTAGATGAAAATGCCTCTTTTTAAGAAATTGGATGTTCAAAATTCTGGGTTGTCCTCTTTCTTCCCTCTGCTGCTACTCCCCATTCGTTTTTTAACAAGCTCACTCAGCATGTGATAAAAATAATTTTGTATGGTTACCTTCCATAGGATATGCCCAACTTTTAAAATCATTGTTTTAGAAGTGTAGCAGTCATAGCATAGCATTTCTAAAAGCTCGGGAACTTCCAGTTTCTGAGGAATTTGCAGAGATGATGTTCCTTTGTTTAACATAATATAACATGAAAATGTTAGCTCTTAAATAATTGTCTTTTCTAATTCATTTCAATTGTTTTAATTAAGTATAGTTTTATAGGGGTTTTGTTATTCAGTTGTCCTATTCACAAATCTCATCATTAGCATAATAATGCCCACTGAGATACACTGACTAAACATACCATAAAAGGCTAGATACTTGCATATATGTGGTTTTTATGGTCTTGCTCTGTGCCTACTCTCAAAAGTTTCACATACTCATGTTTTTGTAAGGTTTTGAAAATGAGCATTTATATTTGGGGTAAGGTTAATAGCGTTAAAAGAATTAACGTTAGGCATTTTTTTCTCGTGGCTTTCCTTATTTAAATCTCTGTGATGTAAATGTCACTCCCATTTTCAAATGAGGTCATTGAGGCAGGGAGACCTTAAGTAATTTGTTTTAAAAGTAAGGGGATCAAGATTCACGCCCAAGAGAACCAGTATTTCTTACAGTTCTCCCTAAATAGGTTTTGCTCTGGGAAGAGGGTTTGAGTAACTTGGAAAGTACTGATGGCAAGTACTGCACCCAGTGACCCTTCTCTTCCCTTTCTGGCCTGAGGAACGGGACAGATTCCCCTCACCCGTTTGTACCTCATTGCAGTCATCGCCCTCTCTCCCTAAGACTGTGAAATCATTCCGTTTCTCAACCCCAGGAAGAAGATGAAGTACCCGACGATGAGACTCTGAACCAAATGATCGCTCGACGAGAAGAAGAATTTGATCTTTTTATGGTAATGTTATAGAAAACCCTGGAAACAGCTGCCCCTTTTTCTACGGATACCAAGTGTCTGGGGCCTGCGTGCCCTGGCGGAGTTGCATTTCTGAAGCCTGTGCCTCTCCTACAGTTCACAGACTGCTCGCTGGCTGGGATTAGCCTGCCGGCCATATTTTGTTTGGCCCACGCAGTGTTTTTTAAAATTTTGAACTTGTTGCCAACATAAAAAAAGAATGCTGATTTCTGGCTTCTCTTTAAAAAAAAAAAAAAAATGAGAGTGGGCAATACCAGGCCCGCATCTCCATAGAGATAGACAGTTGACTGGAAGCTGAGCACAGACCCTCACCCCCAGGTCATTTCTAATGGGGGGGGGGGGGGCAGCATCCTCCCGGAAACCTGCCCTCCTCCCAGGGCAGGGTTTACAGCTCTCCCCTAGCTGTCTCCGTACGGGAGCAAAACAAACATGCTCCCTGTGGGTGGGGGTGGGAGGACAGCAACTAGACAACAAGGTTGTGCCTCTTATTGTTGAGAGCAAATGGGAACCTCCCAGGTGCGCATCAAGGTGTAGCCTTCATGTAAAGACCAAAATGGGCTGGATTTTACTGGTACAAAGTAGATGTAGAGAACCTTGACATTTGAGGATTTAACAGCCGTCGCTTCAGCCTTGATGTTTCATCTAATTTTGCTGACACCGGAATTTGATTTATGAGTGTGGCCTGCTACAAGATCAGTATGTGTGGGAGAAGTCCCTCGGCCATGAGCAGGGAGGCTCTCCGGAGAAATCTTTTATTACCTTCTAAGGCATTTGCTATAGCGAGTTTATTTATCTCTGTTTATCCTCAATGCTCAAGACATCAGGTAGTTACTGGATAAATATTTACTGAATGCGTGGCGGCATTTGCAACATGGCGGGCCTTGTGAAGAAGTCAGTATGGATCAGGATATACAAAGTTGCGAGGCTCCCCCTCCAGCACCTTCCAAATTTATAACAGTTAGCCTGATGGTGGAGTGAGTGAGTCCATCTAAACTCTAATTCTGGCTTTTGAATGGAGCAGAGCCCCCAAATCAGAAGTCCCTTGGGCCTCAGACAGGTAATTTGCATAAGCGAAGCAAGTGGACTGGGGCCAGTGGACGGTGTGCACCGGAGCTGCCTAGTCCGAGGGCACAGAGCTGCAAACCCCATGAAGCTAGAAATTACGTTTTTAAGAGGCGCTGGAAATCTGGGCTTTTCTATGTAATCTCTGGATTTCAAAATGTTTGCAGCTAAATCCATTTTTTTATTATTATATAACACTGCTGGCCAAACAAAACACGACTGTGGGCCAAATATGACCCACAGGGTTTGCAATCTCCACCTTGTTAGCCTAGACAGTCTGAGCAGGGGCTCCAGCTGTGTGGAGGCTCAGGTTATTTTTGAGACCTGGTGTTTTCTGTCTAGGGAACAATGATTATGTCCACACATAATGATTCAAGATGAAAGACACTCCATGCTTTCTCTGGAAACTTTTAGGTAGCCATGGGAGTAACTCCTAACCTGGGATGTGCACATTTCCCCCCCTTCTAAATGAACCACCCTACTCAGGTTGGGCCATTTTGGAGAGGACTGACACACAAAAAAAGAGACATTAACAGCATGGTCAACATGCTCATAAAACCTAAATGTCTTAACTAGTATTGTTGGTCACCACCCTTATAGATTGTATCTATTTAGGTAAAGTAGGATACACACAGGAAATAGACATCTTTTCTCCCCCGGAGGGGCTTATTGAAATGTAGATTACTGGGAAGCCTGAGGTGGGAAGCCCTTTACTTCCCTGGCTGGTCACTGATGGGTAGTAATTCAGCCCTGCTCTAGCCTCACATGCTCCGGAGACCCTGAAAGGGTAAGCTGCCTGCCATTGTACGAATCAGATTAGGCCCAAATAAGGGGCAAAGAGTACTTCTTTTTTCTTAGTTTTGGGCTGGGTATTTGTAGAAATTGACAGCTT